CACCTATTAACAGTTGAATATGTAATCAAATGTGGTAATTTCCATGAATAAAATCTATATTTCATTTAAAAAAAACCCGTTGAATATAGCTCAGCTAACATATATCTCTAATAAAAAAAATTTTAAATTCGATCTCCCACCTCTACATATTGTACTACTCAAAAAAATTAGTAGGGTTTATTTTAGATAAATTATATATTTAGGATTATTTTGTCCTGAAGTTTAAAAGTTTAACATATATGGTCTATAAATTTTGAATAAGGACTATTTTGCGTCTTAATACTATTAATTGATGAATGATATTAATCCTAGAAATTAGATTGAAATATGATCCATTATTTAGAATGTAATACATTTTTAATTTTATATAGTTCATAATTAAATAGATATGATGTTCAAACTTCAGACATTAAATTTATAACATTTATTAAAATTTATTTCTATACTGATAGAAAGCATCGTTCTTTTAAAATAAAGTTAATGTTTTACCTAAATAGTTTAAAGTTGATTTCTCCTATATTTAATTAACAAAACAAAAGAATTTTACTTTTCAAATTAAATTACATATATATCTTCTTCCCGTATTTTAAAAATTGTAGTTTAACTAGTCTGAGCTTTAAAATATTCTAATTACAATGATATTTATCTTTAATTTATGTTCTTAACAACGATAATTTTTTTTTGTTGCTTATTTAGTTGAATAGATTAGGAGATTACTCGAACATATATTTTGACCAACCTAATAAATCTCTCAAATCTAATATATATTTGACACATTGGTTTTAAATTTATCAAATGGGTTGATAAAATCGTGTCACCTAATCCATGGCTAAATAACTGAAAAACTTTTGAATAAATAAAAAGATTTTTTTTAGTACAATAAATATAGAGATTAGATATTGGACCTCCCTCTCTCAGAGAAGTACAAGATTTCTTAACAGCTTATGTTCGTAGAAAAAATAAAAAGTTAAAATATATAATTTAACCTAGTTTTTATATATATAAAAAAAACTTGCTAAAATTCAATCAATTTTCTATCTATAAAATAATCAAACATAAAATGAAATGCCAAGGATTTTTTTTTCCCTTTTCTATGTGTTGAAAAGGAAAATAACAAAATCTACCCTGAATACTGTGAAATAAGAAAATGGAGCAAGAACGAAAAATTGAAATTGTGTACAAAATAAAAAACAAAGACTGGTTTCCGTTTGTTTGTTGTTTCTTTTTTTTTTTAAATAAAGAAAAATATAATTGTTTTGGATAACTATTCCTTGTACTTCATCTTTTTTAATTAAAAAAAAAAAAGAAAACTTTATTTGATTGGAAATGGAATCAAGAAACAAGAAACTTGTTTTCAAAATTCCGCCTATACAATTTAGGAAATGTTTCTAAGGAGTGAGAAACAACAAATATAAATAGTTGCTAAATGATTAAGAGCATGTTTGAGATGTAACCGGATTATGTTTCTTCTAATCAAATGAATTTAGTGAACGAAAATTCTGAAAACAACATCTATGTTTTCACTTTTTTAGTGTTTTAGATTTTGAATTTAAAACTTTAAAATGGAGAATTACATTAAAATAAAATAATTTTTTTATCAATATATTATTTCATATTATGAAATCCTTTTATTTTTTTAAAATTAAAACATATAAAATTAATAATTCTACAAAATTTATAACAAAAATATTAATAAATTAATTAATATTATTTTAGTTTGGACTAAATATTTAGTAGGTAACTATACTACTAGTTTACAAAAATACAACTCTAATTTTCATTAAATCATTTGTTTTCAAGTTTCTATTTTCACATCACCAATTAATTGCAACCTTCTTTCGTTTCTAATTTTATTAAGAAACTTAAGCCTTAGACAATCATTTATGTCTATTTTTAGAAATATTTTAAAAATTATATTGAGATTTCATAACTTTGGAAAAAAAAAGCAGGAATCAAAACAAAAAACAAGAAATGGGACGACATTTACAAACGGGCCAAACAAGCCGGAAGCCACCATCCCTATTCCAATTCTGTGACTTACAATAGAAGAGTTATATGAACGAACCAACAATACATTTGAATGAGAGATTCTAATATGATGTGGTTAAGAAAGTTTTCAAATAATCGGTTTTAGCTAGCAATACCAATAAGAGTGCACTTTTTTCGGTGGCTCAATCGTAAAAGTTCAAAGTTCTTACTTGGTTTGAAACAATCTTTTAACTTGGGTGAACTTCTAGGATTTAGAGATAGTTTTCACTCTTAAAAGCCGAACTTCTAGGATTTAGAGATAGTTTTCACTCTTAAAAGCCGCTCAGATCAAAATGGTAGCACAACCAAGTCGCAGAAAAATGTCAAGGCACCGGTATCGAATTCGAATCCTAGACATGGAGTTCACAAATTTCCACTCCATTGCCATCCCTAATGAAGTGTGTTTTTTCCTTTTCCCACAAGCTCTGTGGAATTGGATTGCTGAAGCGAAAGAAATTAAAAGAGGAAGAAGAAGAAGAAGAAGAAAAAAGTAAACTAAAACCAAACCCAAAATTAAACTTACTGCCTGCCCTTCCACCCAAGGGTCACTTTGAATTTCGAGCTCTTCCTTCTTCCTTCTTCAATTCCAACTAAAAAAACCAACTGCTCTTCTCTCTCTCTTTCCTCTTGCCTTCGTATCCATCGAGATTCTGCCTTTTTTTCCCATATAACTCCACTTTCACTCCCTCATTTTCTCACCCCTTCATTCTCAGAAGCTTCACACAGAGCTCTCGGTTCTCATTTCCTCTCTTCCTCTTGAATTTGCATTTCCCCTCGAGGAATATAGCAGACAGAAGCAAAAGGTGAGCCAGAGAAGCTTAGGAGGAGGTAAAATTCAAATCCCACATTGAGTTTCATGCGTGTTATTCAACACTGTGTTTACTTTACTCTTTCTTTTTTGTCAAATTCAAAAGAAATCGTTCTATAAAGAGCCAGCAGTTAGCTAGGTCTGTAATAGCTATATTGCAACAGATCTGGAAGGGGAAAAAAGATGGAAAAATTGAATATATATATATATATATATATATATATATATATATATATTTTAGAGATGTGGGTAATATATCTTTAATGAATAAATAATGTTTAGAATCCAAGATATGTGTTGACAAGCACTGGAATTAATGTAGTGTCTGTCATTTTATGGGCAGAGAGAGGGTCTTAAATGCCGTTGTCTGTCTGAATCTGAGTATCAGCTTAAAGAGAAAGCTCAGATAAAAGGCATTATTGGTAGATGGGGAGGGTCGAGGGGGAAGACTTTTGGCTTCTGCTTTAATAAAAGCTTCAGTTTTGGCGTTACA